TGGTAGCCCGGGCCCGCATTACAGGTGGCTGGGGGGTTTGTTTACTGTGGTTATTTTGTGGAGCTCCATAATCACATCTGACAGATTTGGCTTCCGTTTTACGTTTGAGGTTAGGATTAGGGTACTGGTTAATGGTTTCCGATTTTCCGGTTAGAGTTATGCCTTTAGGCTTAGGTTTTCGGGTTATGGTTAGGCCTAGGGTTAGGGTTGCCGTTAGGGTTAACGGTTAACGGTAATGGTTGAGGTTAGGGCTAGGGTTAAGGTTGGGATTAGGGTTAAGGCAGCCGTCCGCTTCCCATTCCGGGATACCAACTGCGATCTAGCCAAAACCTCCTCGTTAGGTCTCTTTTAATTTGGTAGTTGTCTGTTTTCCCACTTAATAAAGGCATAATACCTATATTGCATCCTGCTTGTCTGCACATCCAAAGACATGTGAAATATGAAGGGGCGATGTTTAAATAGGCCAGGGATGCGTACTGTAAATATACTACGAACAGTCACTTGATCAGTAGTATTGCTATTAAGGCAAACTAGTACACACTAACCAGCGTTCGATCCCGCTTCATTAAGATTGAGAATACAAGATCAGACAGCGCATACACGCCCTGTTATAGTAGACACTTTAGCCACTAGTGCCTCTGAAACGGTCCACGCGGTAGATGCTCTGGACCAACACAGTCCGGCAGGCGTTATTGCTAATGCGCACCCATAACAAATGTTCGCACTGGGGTGTGGTGGCACGCCCATTTGCTGGTTCACTCCGCGCCGCCCACTACTTGTGTTGTGATATAACATCTCGGTCAGTACATGTTGTGGACCGGAAGGTGTGGTGGTATGCCTAAGTGGGTGGCTTTTGTTGCGCCGACCTCCTGCGCCCTACCCCGCCTCCGGTCCTCTTGACTCTGTCTTGGCGCAGGAGGAGGAAGAGGAGGGAGTGCGGGAGGTGCTGCGAAAGTCTACTAGCATTATAAACTAACATATGCGGAGGTCATTCTCGTTTCTCTCAGACTTCTGTGGAGCACACGATGGACATCGTCGGAAACGACGGTCAAACTGTCACTTTAGCCGCTTGGGACCTACGATGTCCTGGTAAGGAGTACAATTCGTGGGATGATAGGTCTGTCCATGCACCTTGGTACCTCTTGTGGTTGCTTCGCTAAACGCTTGCATGGCGCCCAGTTCTCATCTATAACTCCGTGAAGCCGTGCTTCGCACGATGTTCGGATAACCGTCTCGAGCATCAGTCAGTAGGGGAGACCCAGCCTTGTTTTGACAGGCTCATACAAGACTTTATATTATTGCAGCCACGGCTCCCCGCTCCCTATGCACTCACCCTTACTGCCAAAGAGTGACATGCAAGCCCCTAGGTGACCCCAACTACTTCAATTCGTTTTCGAAATAATTCCAGTTCGGCGGATAACGAGGGGAGAAAGTGCGCCCTAAAAAGCTGGTGGTTATGTCGTCTGAGGGTTTGCCTTGGCTCGCGGAAGCTAAAGACGCTGTTGAATTTCTATGCGTAACAATGACCACTCCCCATTCCCCTATGTCTTCCGCCAGAGTGATCTCGATTACTCAAGCAACTTTGAATGCCTATTCTTGAGATGGTGGGTAACCGCTCTGGATGTCGGAGGACTTGTTCATTGCAATTTGGACATCAGTTAATGTCCCGACCGGCGCCAACGTTTGGGTACGCAAAGCTCATGGTAAATGTCAACATACTTCTCTAGCAGCGGTAGGAGATTTGTTAACCGTATAGTTCCCGAGTCGACGACAAGATTGACGTCCAGATTACTAGGACCAGTGAATGTTTTCGTGGCATCCTAGTCACCGTGGCATCCTAGTCAATACAAAACTCAGGATAATAAGGCCATCACTCTGACAACGCAACTTTACAACCAAGAGACCTAGGCTTTCTACAAAAGTCCAACCGAAGGACTTTAAACAACTGAAGCGACAGGAACAGATCCTCGATGCGGAGGTCAGTGAGTCAACTGGAATGTTGAAAATCTGTGTCACACTGAAACAACTGTAAGCAGCCAACGCGACTTTTCTATGACGACGGTGCTACGGGCACTCTCAGGAAGCTGCACAAGAATGACGTCTGGAGAACACAAAAACTACATCCTTCAGCACCCCCTTATTATCCAACTGACTTGAAAGCTCTTTGTCGAAGACTGGCAAAAAATGAGGACAATTGTAAAATCTAGAGCTGTCAGCCTCGAGGTCAAATTTAGGCAAAGAAAATGCAAAACTGGAATACCGCCGTCCAATCCTGCCAGCACATAACCCCCTACGGCTTTTAAAGACCTGGACTGGCCTTCTGGGACATTTTCGGACTTACCACAGTGCCAACGCAGTAACCACTTTCATGCAACAAACCCCAATTACCTTCAATGGTACCCCTTTCACCTGCATTCTTGTCTTGCTCCTCCCTGACAGGACGTCTTTATGACCACTAAAGTGGATATAGAACCAGGACGCTAGTGGAAACCACCAGCAGTGCAGACTCGATACCAGCTTGCACCACTTGCGACCGCCCATTCAACCACGCATGGACCTGACCAGACATCTGTGAATCCATTGTAGAGTAAGAAAAACTCATAACGCATACTCTTCCTGCCCGCACTGTATTTGCACATTTGCCCACCCTGTGGGTTTCTGCGGTCATATGAGCATATACGAAGATTATCAATAAAATAACATCTATTATTCATGCCCGCACTGACTCTTCACATTCAGTTGTTGAAATGAGATTCACAGGCACATGTTCACACATTAGAGCCACCCATCGTCGACCTTACAGTAACGTTTACTAATTATGTAATGACAGACGAACTACGGTACATGCGAGCAGGTGGTACGCAATAGACAGATATTTAAGACGCAGCAAGCTCGCAGAAGCTATTTATGTACGGAAGGAAGAGGGAGGATCAGTTTTCATGGAAGATCAACGAGTTCCTCTCCATGAGAATTTGATGCAATCCTTAGATGTCACGATTTTGAAGGTTGCTGACTGGCTCGGCATCTCGGCTGTACTTCAGACTGACGGATTAGATTGGAAAACGTCCTCCCCAGTGTGCTTTTTACGGCACTGCCGCCCACGTGAGATATGAGGTCTCCATGCAAGCATCCGGTGGGGAACAAGATCGTATACGGCACACATATACAGGTTATTTAGCTTTGTTAGCCACTGCGCCCACGCCAATTTGCAATCATTTTACTCCGTTTTGTTAGCGGATCGTGATGAATGGTAGTGAAGAGAATGGGGCAGACGCAACGAAATTTTGATACTTCACAAACAAATTTACTTGTAATTTACCACAGTGCCCTATCCGGGACAGTTTTGGTCCCTATCGCTTGCGATGAACGGAATTTCATCACTCTCAACAATTTTTCGGTATTTTATGGAATAAAGAGTTCAACCGCTATGTTTACTGGCTCACGTTTTAAGCAGTGGAGCCCTTATGTAAAGGATATGCGATCTGGTATCTCACGGGGGATCTTCTACACTTTTACTCCTGTACGTCAATCAAAATGACTTAAAGTCCTTCAATTCTATTCAGAAAATAGGAAAAGATTACTGTTAATAATTTTCGGCACCTTAACTATTAAATTCCCACCCTCTATTAAAGCCTACGCTAGTAGGAAGACGTCAGGCAGGGCTAATGGATTTTTGTAACGAATTAGGACCATGTTTTATAGTTCATAAGAAGCACTGATAAACAATCAGATACGACAGTGTGTGAGCAAGTATTTCACGTTCTTAAAATCTCAGGATGAAAAGTTTCAAAAACCAAATTATTGCACGAAAGAATATTTTTGTATGTGTTTTCCATAAAATATATTCAGAGTTATAAAGGCATCGAAATTTAGTGGAGAATTCATGCACAGTGAGTAATCGTGGTTGGACTAAAATGCTTTCGACTTATGTTGCACAATGATCAATATTATAACCCTATGAGAGTAATCCTTTTTATAGAGAACCTACTTCAGGATTTCGTATGAGGTTCCATGTGAGAGGCGAACTGCTGTAAGCGTTTGCAGTTTCAACACAAAATCAGTATCGTAACTAGTTTAGGGATCAAATAACGTCCAAAATAGTTGCTTTTGCAAGATACTCCCTGTTAAATGGCTTTGGTGGTGTACTGTAGCACTGGAAATAGTAAAGGAATTTCCATATTCCTGCTCGAAGTACAAGTTTAGCACAGCTGTTCGCTTATTCCGATGATCTCAAGAATTTTAATGGAGTTAAGGAAAACAATCTCTCTTCGCCATTACCGAGTGCAGAGTGTCAAATTTTTGGGTGGAGACTTGGTCCCTTTTGCCGCGAAAAGGGGCCTATTAAAAAAAGATACGCTAGATACTTCTTACTTCTTTAAAATCCGCGCGACACCACTGAGTGGCTGAGACCTTTAGGGCTTTTGGAATCCAATTTAACAGAACTTGCCTATGGTTTAAATCATCAGACTGGTGCACTATCGCCTAAAGTACTTTAGAATCTGTTACATTATTTATGGGCTAATCTTTATCTGTTCTTTATGGTGTAATGCCTGTTGTTTGATCGTTTCACACCAATTCGGCTGACAATAGCGGCAAGAAGACTGACCAAATATAACCGCACTTCCGTGTCCTGTAACTCACCATATGCGAAAAGAAGGGAAATATGTACATTTAATTTACAAACCTGGTGATATGCTACTTTAGAGCGTACGTTTGCATTAACGGAAGTAAACGTCTTATGATGGGTAGGCTCATCAAGATTTGTAATTAGAACCGTTTCGGAATAAATAAAAGTCAATTTTCTACAAAATGAATAATCACGGCGAAATAAATCGACTTGATCTGTTCCTTGTATCATTTGCGTTGTTCATTTTTTAAAACAGTCCTGTAAGGCAATGCTAGAGGAAGCACGAACTGATGAAATAAATGGAGGAGACGAATAGTATCTGTGCGAACGGATCATATATGTGAGTCTTGACATTATAAGCACAAAGTAACTTTTAAGCGTCAGGCTTTTCCGTAAGTTCGAGCTTTTCTGGCGAGTCTTCAGTGGGCGGATAGGAATACTGCCACCAGGGATCATAGCCGAAATCTCGTCGACCAGCATACTTGTTTAGCCAAGCCTTCCATAAGAGACGAATCACTTCTCCCGTTACAATGTCGCCGGCATTCAAGTTCAGCATGTGGACGATAAAGACACCATCAAGTCGAAGGAATTCTTTAACAAACTTGTCAACGGTACGAGGATCATCAGGGTCAAGAGTGTCCCCTTCAAGTTCCTTTTCACTCTCTGAAGGCTCCAGTTCCGGTCCGAGCTTCAAGTACTTGCGAATAATTCTGGTCTTTCTCCTCCTTATAGTCAGTCTCAGGAACCAGCTTACAATACTCACGCCTGTGCAAATAGCTACCAGCAGCGTCCAGTACCAGAGGAAGATGTAGAGCTTCTCGTTGAGCATATTCACGGCAAGAGCACACATTCCGAGGAAACGGTTGTCTGCCTGGCCCAGATGGCGGAGTTTCACGCTACAGAAGGCGACGCGAGGGAAATAGAGTGATTCTCGCCAGTCCGAACCCTGAATGAGAGACTGTGTGAGCTGAATCATGAAGCCTGTCATCGAGTCACCGTAGCCCAGGAATTCCTTAATTAGGTACAGCTGGCCAATTGCATTCGCCAAGTAGAGAAGTTTGATACAGAGGTAGGAGAATACAGTCCAGGTTCCAAGCCGCTTGCTGGCTAATAGGAGACCACATGTGTCTGACACTTGGCGACCGAGAGCCGCCATCTTGCCCCTCCGATAATCGCGGTGAGCGAAGAGCAACAGTTCCAGTCGTTCTGCTACGTTTGCAATCTTCTCTTCCCGCTTCTCAGGTGCTGTCGTCTTGAGGGCGTCCATGGCCTTCGTAATGATAGCGGTGAGGTCAGTGCCCAGACGGTTGAAGGTGACATTCTGCCATACCACGTGTGGTATGTAGAAAAGAATTGTTTGCAGACCGAGGACGAATGGCACCCATTGATAATAAGCTGAAAACAACTGAGATTTATTACAAAAGCAGTAACGTACCAGGTTAGTAAAAATGACAAAATGTCTATTTCAAACTTTTTCTAACTATTTGGCCGTGTGTCGAAGGAACGTTTAGTCAAAAATTGTCTGAAGTGATTTCTATGGATACGAATATCTACGGACAGGATTGGTTTGGACTATCTTCTCATTAAAAATAGAAAGCAAATGGAACATGTAAACTTGTTAAGCAGGTCACATGTTGCTTTACTATTGTCAACCAACGTCAGTCGTAGCTCAGCTTGTAGTCATTAATTAAAGACAGTCCTTACTTTTACTTCTTTCCGGAAAAGCTGTATTCAGTTTTCTGTTTGCAATATAAACATTCTCTATTTGTGAGCCCTATTTTGACATTTGAAGTGGTTTCGTATTAATGTGCATCCGCAATCAACGGCCAAAGAACAACCAGATAAAACTTCTCCCGGAAAACAGATGACATCTTTTTATCTGTACAGACTGAATTAGTTCATAACAACTAAATAGCTTTAGTCGGAGGAACAATGTGGTTGAAATTAAAGCAATTATTGCTCACTTATTTTACGCTCCGCTGATAGAGCATCCCAGCTGGCCTCATCCTCTGGGATAGTTTCATTCATTCCGATGGGCACTGTTCCATGAACCCAGCAATACGAAGCCATGTAATCCTTGAAGTTGGAACCCGTCGGCACGGTTGGCACATGACAAGCCAGAGGTTTCAAAATGTAGGTCTTGGCCGAAACGATAGCAGTGCAGATAATTAAGATGACAGTGCTGTGAGCAAAACTCAGTCGGTCGGCCCAGTCTTGAACGCCAACCAATGCAACTGCTTGATACTTTTGGTAGGAATCAATAAAGTCCTTCCCCAACATGGTGACTTGAGTTCACCAAATGCTTTGACCACTGCTTCCAAGTTAGAGCTTAAGTACGAGGATAAAGGAGTTAATGCAGGCAGACATGTTTTGAAAAAGTCGGTCAAGTCAAATCAAATAACAGTAATGCCTACCAAGGACGTATCGCTTCTTACTAACTTCAAGGTATGCGATGATCAGCCGATCAGATGATCCGTCTATTATGGTCATTGTTCATTAAGTAAATTCAACAATGTTGCTTATGAATAGCGATTGCTTCTGTTATAAGCCTTATTATTTATTTCTTGTCTTGTTTGGCATTCCTACACTAACCAATTATCATATCTATTCGACACTTCCTATCTTGAAAAATAATTATTTAAGTAAAGAACCTATTTTCCAGATTCTGTCTCATGTGCAAGCAAAATCGAAGAGAATAAAAATCAAAGAGAAACCAGAATATAGCTTTATAGACTGTCTTTTCATTTTCCACACGTTCTTCGAAAACTACTCTGTGGTAATAAACTTCTCTACATGCACAGTTGGTGACTGCTGTGAAACTCGGATAGTTGTTCAAGAATAAGCACTTATTCTGGCATACTATATTTGATCCTTTTATAAAGATAACCCATGTCCATATGTTGCAGACAAAAATCTGAGGACTTTGCATGCAGTCATGAACATCCAAACCGGACCACGAGTAAGCAGAGTAAAACGATGTTTTTAGATGAGTTAAATAGGATTATACCACAGGTAATCAATCGAGGAGATGGAGTATTCGCAGAAACGTGGACACTTTGGCAGACTAAAGCTTCCAGTAGTCAAAGGTTGAACATAAACTTTTCAATAGTTCTAGACGAAAGTGATGTGTTAACACAGGAACGTAATTTGAATCGTAACCTCTAGATATTTGAGGTTGCAACAGCTCCTTCTAGGCATCATCTGGACAAATTTCACGTAAAAGAGGGATTTTAGTCGTCGGCATGAAACTTAAGCTGAGGCACATGTTAACGGTCACTGAATAGTCGTCTGAGAAATGTTTCCTAGCGCCGTTATAAAAGCTGCAAAACAGAAAGCACATGATTTTAGCTACCGTTCTGGTAGGTGGAAATTAGTGGGGAAAAGTTGGATTTTCATGAGATCTGCTAAATTCTGTAAACCAAGTTGAATTGAGATAGTTGGAGACCAAAACTAATGGAAAAAATATTTCTCAGAAGGCGGCATTTTCTGCAAGCATATTTTCGAAAAAAATATGTTGTTTCGACTATCTAAGTGCGGATCAGTTCCTTTTAAAAGCGAAGCCAGTCACTCTGTAGGTCGAGGGACAAGTTTGGACCTGCGGCAGGATTAAAGAACTGCTACATTTACTTGCTGCCGAACTGTTAGATACGTCAGGTTGATCAGTTATATAAAATCTGGCAGTGAGCTGTAGCGCAAAAAGAGAGAAAACCTATTCCATCTGCGCCCCTCTTTAATGTCCTAATCAAAACGGCCTTATGCTGTAGTTTCATCTAAATCACGATATTTGCTTATTGATCGCTCATGGCATGCAGACCCTGTAGGGCTTCCACTCATATGAACTTGTTTAAGGTAATCCCGCGCAAACTAGCAGTTATGCGATCCACCCTAATTCTCTTTAAATAGAAGTCTGTACGTTTTTTTAACAGCTGCTGTTGAAATAATCCAGAGGTGGATTTTTCCACTAATACCAAATTTTGCTGTACCTTATAGGAAGGGTAAAACAGAGAATGTCAAACGCGACACTTTCAACTACAACTGGAAAACAACCTTATTAAAGGGGCCTTCGCTGCGGCAAATACTGGTTCATCCTTAAGCATTTTAACTGTCCAGAACACAGGATTAAAGGGACGCAAGGTGATACCGATAATTGCAGTCGAGGGTGTTACGAAGATAACTAGGACGACTTGAATGTTTAATTCGGACACGCCACCGTCAGTCAGCCCAGCCTTAACTCACCCAGCAGAACGTGAGGAGATTTAAATTCAAGCTTTTTAAAACTTTTTCTAAAGTATGTGCGAGTTTGGCGTCCACAGGTTGAGTATAACTGCAGGATGGAATGCGGGCGCTCCATTTTCCCCTGTAGTTCCGGTTCAAAGCCCTCACAGACAGTGCAATAGTGATGAAAGTGAGCAACCAGGTGACTACAGAAAAACAAGGATGCTATAAATGGGAATACCCACATCCTGTCCTATATTCCAAGTGAGCAGGCATAATTCACCGTGGACTTCGCAACACACACTTTAGACGGTTTGCTGTAGGCAAGGGATGAGCGCTTCAGGAAAATAAAATTCCCATGATTTCCAAAAAATGGATTAAAATATACCAGATGTTTAGAGGACAAAACATCCTAGTATACGCAGGGAGGCGTGAATTTTGCAGTAAATATGATGGGTCCCCAGACGCGCTCGAAGAGGATCTGCCAAAATTTGCGCCTGACGCTCAGACATCTCGTATAAAATGCAAAATTTGCCATGGTGTAAGCCACTAAGGAATAGGACTTATTCACTAGCCCTCTATTCACATTACGCACATCGGCCGAAAAATATACATAGTTTCGAAAATGCGATGACCGGTCGGCTGAAGGCCATGCATACAATTAACACTTTCGACAGTCTGTTCATTATAACATTCTTTGCTGAAGGCCGTAGATAGTGATACCCAGGCAGCCTTCTTGGAGCCTGATAGAAACTGGCCTTCTGCAAAAACGGTTACTAATACCGCTGCTAATCGATTTGAATAATATGGACATCCTACTAAAATCTGCAAAAGTACTGGACTAAAGGCTCGCTTACGATCCAATCATGCACGCCAATAGATCAAAGACGCTCCTTTTTTAACTGAAAATATCGTTTTGGTCACCGAGGCTTTTAAACACAAAAAACAACTGTACGTTAGATCTCATGCGGCACATTTGCCTGGCCCTCCTATACTGAGCGTGATAAATGATATGTGATGCTTCCAATTCAGCCACTAATCTCAATTAAAATTGCGAACTGGGCAGATTTAGCCCCCCCCCGTTCTTAAGGTACGCTGTGAAATCCAGTAAAAAGTAATCAGTTGAAATTATATGTAATAGTGATTTTTTAGATCACTTTTGGGGGTTTTAGCTTGAGTGGGGCGTTTTTATCCTGACGTAATAATACTAATTAAGTTGACTAACCCAGGTACTCATATCGAACTCCAAATCGTTTGCGTGGAAATTGGCATTAATGAAGGACATCTGTGTACAACCAAAATAATATTTGGAGCTGCAAAAAGTCGTTCTTTTTGAAATTTTTAGGAGGTTTAGGCTGCATTATTACGCCTCTAAGTGGAGTGGAGTTGTCGGTTAATTTGGATGAGGAAAGATCCATACAGGGGTTGAAATGATAGACGGACGTTTAGGAGATGCATACTGCATTTAAGTAGTGTTCTGTAATTGTACTTCTCCATTTTCCCTATCTTACTCTAAGTTTGGTACCGGCGCCATCTTTATAACTATTTCTTTCGCAACCACGAAGCCCTGGTTCTGCGAACGGAGCCAATCATCTTTGCCAAGCGTTGTCAGCTACAGAATTCCAACTAGGTTCATGCATGCTGAATGGCCGCCCCATAGTTGATATCGTAAACCCTATTTGGTGGCGCATACGGCGTGATAACTTGAAGCATTTGCTGTATTGACTGCTTTAACGGAAAAATAATTAATCGGGACTTTGCTCCTAAACTGACCGCATCCTGTTAATTCCGAGTGCTCGAGCCTTTCTACTTGTTTCCTGCGAGAATTATCGTCCAGGGGGTCTCTGACCACCTGTACTTTGACCCTATTTCGGTACATGGTCTGGTAGAACAAACAACGCAAAACCGCGGGGACTTTTGTTTCGCATGATCCGGCTAACTATCTGCTTCATTGAACCCCAGAAGTCTTGGTTCTACAAAACCAATTTTCACTGCTGGCACAGTTGGCCGCGAGCAAGTATAACGTTCATTTAGGCAAAAATTACAATTGCGGACATTTCGGGGGATTTAAGACTGGTTGATTTTGTAAGGACAAGAGCTGCAACTTAAAATCTGATAATCAAGTTTCACTAAAACGCCGCATTATGTGAAGGGTCAATCTTTTTTAGACAAAATTACAAAAGGTTATCAAAGATGCAGAACTCTCAGTAGTAAATCTAATGATTTGAGTTTGACTAAAGTCGGGGTCTGTTAATATCTCGATTGTGACAACATGCCAGTGAGCCCTTTTCCTCTTCTAGGGTTATACATGCATGTGCAATAAATTAAGCCTCCTTCAATGTGGTTGGATAGGTGAGAGTTAGATCCACTCGATGGGGGGTAGTGAGACAATGAAACCATGGCGGACGGAAGGAATATAAAAAGCAGGCTGAGCTTAAACAAAGCTTCGTTCAGAATAAAAATTGTTTGAGTCCTCTTAATATGGTCGTCAGACTAGGCTAAGAGAAAGACATCTGTCTTCCGGAACGTATGTGGTGCTTATTTGGTAACGAAGCCATTTGAAGTCATCGGCACTTCGGAACCTTAGATAAAATTTCAGCTAATCCTTAGTACTAAAGTATTTTCTTCAAATGATCCGCGCCACAGTTGCGTCGACGCAGAATTAGCTTGTGTTAGCCGGGATACGTTGAACACGCATCAGGCCTTAACTATTGCCATAAACGTGACGCATGACGAACAGCGGCTTTCGAATTACGTCAGCCAATGCTCCCAGTCCCACTGATGCACGGGGGTGCGGGGGGCGGAGGAGGAGTAAACTATCGGGCTGACCAAAGTTGGATCGATCGCTTACGTTCTTCGTCATAATTAAACGCACGCGCCCTAACACTGTCTGGACGCGCTAAAAGTCCACCCTCGGTCCTACTCAGGAATTTAAATCAGGCTGCAATGGCCCCTAGTATAATGACCTTTCTAATACACTCACTTATGTGAGGTTCGAAAGCTGACACCATAAAATTAGAGAACGATTCAACTGCAGTACGCGTAAATAGTTCATTTAGCCTTATTAATTACTGCGCACATGCTCATTTTCAGTTGGCTCGACTTTGCCTTCCCATTGTAATATTTGGAAGGTCCTAGGGAGCACAGAGGGAGACAGAAGCGGCACAACCAAACACCGCGATCTCTCCGAGCAGCGTTAGTCGTCAGCAGCAGCAATGGAAGATTTATGAAAGCGAAGTAGCATAGAAGTGACTTTCACCTGTATGGCATTACTACCGGACGGACTATGGCCGATTCCGTTTTATCCTGGAGTCACAGCCTGGAGTTTCCTCGTGCAGGCTAGTGGCACGAAACTATCAGTAATCCAGTCTTGAAGAAAAAGACACGATCGCCGGGACAAGAGCTTTATTAGCCTGACGTTTTGGATTCCTGCTCGAATCCATCATCAGAGACATAAGCAGATAAGGAGATAAGCAGATAATGTCTTTTCGCTTCTATTATCAGTAATCCAGCTGTATTACCAAGAGAGTCAGGGAAGACTTTTTGGGCTGAGAGCTCCAAGGAAAAATAAAGCGTCTGTATGCCGTCACCTCACTGGGACGTTGAATAGCTCAAAAAGAAATCTACGGGACACGAAGGAGGAGTTCACTGATGGGAAGTTCGTTTTGCTAACACTTGGTCAAAGAATACGAATTCTGACACAGTCTTCTCGTTTAGTGCCGGAGTATGTTTGGCCCTCGATGGAGAATATCTCACAAGCGGTCACTCTTATCGCCCTATTTGATGTCAGTAATGAAACACCATTATTAATCCGTCCCATGCCCCCTTTAATGGACGGCTAAACGATTCGTTTTAATGATTTATTTCTACTATCTTTAGTGTTGTTAAGTAACATTACTGTGCTTGGACAAACAGGAGCTGGCAAAGCGCGGAGAATTCCCTAATATGTCACGTATATCAATTTGAAAAGTTGAGCAGGGTTCAAGTCTACAGGATTATGAATAGTGTGGGATGTGTACATCAGCGTGTTTAAGGACAAAATACTACATGAACACATAAGCTGTTCCAGAATTTTCGCTTATAAAGATAAGAATGAGATACTATGTTTCCAATCCGCATGGTTTCCATACGAGCAGAAACCGCCTGAAAAGAAACTCTGGAAAAACTTTTATCGTCCTGCTCGAAGAATAGGGATGCGTAAAGTTGCGTGCACTAACTTGGAACTGTATTGTCTGGCGCCCCACGCTCATGCCTCAATGCATCTCAGTGTTTCTGTTAACATCAAAGAGGTCTGAAACTTTCATCTGGACAAATACGTCCTATTTCAGCGTCAAGGAAAGATAGGCAGCCCCTTGACGTCAAGTTTCGGCAGCTTATTTGTCCAATATTTGAGTAAAGAGAGACAGTGTGTTCTTTGTAGTGGGTGGTGGCAAAAGGAAGCTGACTATTAATATTATGTAGAGCTGATTTATGTTAATTTCCGTAGACCCCGACAACATTTTTTGAGATGGTCTAGAGAGGGCCTACGTACTTTATCTCTGTGCGGAAGGCATGTCGTAAAATTAACCAAGAAAGACGAGTCTTAAAATGGTATGTAAACCTGATACTTTTACGGAAAAGACGAACAGGTCGCCAAAATCAATGGAAGAGCAGTAATCGGTGTGTATAGTGTGACCTGCGTTTGATGCTGAAGATAATTCTAGTTAATATGTAGCAATAACAATACGCCAGGATAGCATAGAAGAGAGGAGGTAAAAGTGGTAAGAACGCAACCACCCAGCAACCAAACTCAATCAGGACATTAAAATGAGTACAAGTAATTTTTTACTCATGTTATATTTCTTCTGTGGCTCATTGCAAGTCCTTTACATAAGCGACTAATAATGGCTGCATGAGTCGCAAACAATTCCAGACCTCTAAAATCAAGGATGCAAGAAGTAAGGGAAGATAACTGTTAAGATTGTGCAGGTTGGCGGATAAATCAGGGCGCATTTTATTCAGTGATGTCATAGGCTGCTGATGACACGTTTATGGCCGCTTCAGTTTGAACATGAAAAGTTCATTGACGAAAAGGAGGAAACTGCAAAGAAAAATGAGCGGGGCGCAAAACGTCAAGCTGTCGAAATTGGTGCGTTGACGAAGATCATTCATTCAAACAAGAGCACTCTTGTCGGCGACGCTTCGTCGCTGGGTCGTATCTCCGCCCAGTTCAAGGAGATTCTTTCTGGCCAAGATGTCCTTTGCAATATCATGCAGCATCTTTCGGTTCTTGTACTTGGTCCTGTAGATGTTCCACAGAGCAGCAACCACGTCCGAAGTAACCACATCGCCGGCGTTCATGGAAATCATTCTCAGTAGGAAGATACCATCGTGGCGCAGGAAGTCGCAGATGAAGTTATGCAGAATTTCACGATCCTCGTCAGTGTAAATTTCCTGCAGACGGAGGAATTTCTTCACGAAGTGTGACCTATTCTTTTCTAGACCCATTCGCAGGATCCACAGAGGGATGCTGATGGCAGTGCAGATTGCAACCAGAAGAGTCCAGAACCAGAGGAATATGTAGAGCTTCTCGTTTAGCATGTTCACTGGCAGGACACACTGGGCGACATACTTGTTTGTGGTGCCAAGATGACGAACGTGTTCTAGGTAGCAGAAGGAGACGCGTGGAAAGATGCGAGTCTCATCCCAGTCACGACCTTCGACCATGTAAGAGGCCAAAACGTAGCCAAAGCTGGACATGGAGGCATTAAAGCCGAGGAAGCTCTGCATGAGGTAGAGTTGACCAATTGCATTTGCCAAGTAAACAAGTTTTATGGCAATGTATGTAAAGATGAGCCATGTGCCGAGACGTTTGCTGGCCACGAACATGCCGCACATTGTAAAGGCCTTTCGGCGAACCGTCGCAACTTTGCCAAGACTGTACTCACGGTGTTGGAAAAGCATCTCTTCCAAGGTACATGCAACGTGTTTAACAAGACCCTTTCGCTCGTTTTCAACAGCGTTACTGGCACTGTTGGCCACGGTAATCAGATGTTCCAGATCAGTGCCGGTGCGATTATAGCATATAATTTGCCAGACCACTCGTGGCATGTAGAAGAGAATGGTCTGGAGGCCCAACATGAAAGGCACCCATTGGTAGTAATCTGCAAATTTCAAAAGGTGAGGTATCGTGTAAGGTGTTTTCATAAGAAACTCTCAGTGATAAATTCACCTGATACAAGAAATCAGGACACAAGCATTTAGAGCATATCTGCTTTCATTTATGGTGGTATTTTTACATTTGTTTAGAATGGTTCGCGTGTCTGGCCTCTTAGAAATGCACTTATTGACCGTTTGGCCCAAAGTTACAATCGGTTTTAGAAAGCGTGAAATTCAAGTAAGCAGAGAAACGCGACGAATATTAGCCGAACTGTTTAAATACGCGTGAAGGAAGGACTCACTTACTTTTCAGATCGTTTGCAACTATAAAAATTTGAAAGGTGCTGGGAAATTATTTGCGTCTCCTTATACTAGTGCACTTATTAATTCTTCTGATTAATTCATGCAGAACCATTTTTGTGCTCTGCAATGCTTTGTTATAAAACGCATTCCTCTAAAAAATGCAGAACAAATGTTTAGAATATTAAAAGGTAATGTAATTTCGAAAAAAACATTTCTTGAGATATATAGATTATTCAGCATTTTTAGGCCTGAACAAATCATAAAAATAGCTGAAAAATTAGAAACGTCAGTTTTCTATTAAATAAATGAATGAATTAAAATTTGCATTCATTATTCCAGGAAACAAAATAGACTTGTATCGGCACGGAAAACTAATGGAATAAAGGAGGAGTACTTAATCGATCTCGGGCGCAATCTCCACCCGTGTTAGGATCAGATAACAAGTTATTGGCAGAATATAATTACCGATAAAGACGAGGGAGACTGCCATAGATATATCTGGCTTGCTAACCGTCATCAGCTAGTCACACGCAACCTCCGAGGTATGCAATACCGGAGGCTCGAGATCGTGACTTGTTGGTTCTGATTGGATCGATGCATGCCCCTCTACCATTGTTAATGTACTCGACCGCAACCGATAAGACAACGAGTCCGTGGCTCAGTGGTTAGGGCGTTAGACTTACAACCCACAGGTCGCGAGTTCGAGCCTGGAGGTTGCAGACCACGGAGTTGGGCGTGGCTGGCTGGTGACGGACAACAAGCCAGAAATAGCCGTGCCGATCTCTCTTGTTATTTTCGGTATTTATTTTGCCTATATTACGCGTCGGTATGCGGCTGTTGGTGGGACTCAAGAAGCAGCCCCAAGGCACAACGGGACGAGTGAGTTCCGTAACGCGATCGGTGCACGCCCCTCGAACAGCATTACGGGTTAGTGTACGCGTGAGCGCTTGGGGGTATGTCCTATGCAAACCAGTACGCAGCCGAAACTAAATGCTTTAGATTTTACATTAGATTTCATTTAAAGTTTACTAGTATTCGGTATAGGTATCCGAAGTGTCCCGTTATCAATTTTGTCAGTTAAATCAGATTGAGCTCTATATTTCGTTTTCAGACATCCGTTGTGAACTATTCAGAACAGACAGTTGCCTTAGAATTTTTAAACCCAACCTCTTTTTACTGTCGCTACTCATGGTGCGTCATTTTCTAAGCCGCTGAAAGCTGAACTCCAGAAGTTAGATTGTTCTCTATTCTCCGTTTCGAACAAAACTTCCCAATGGAAACCCGACGGGTTTTAAAGGACACGATATAATATAATACTTAACTGCACAATTTTAAAAAAAGTCGACTATTTCGCGCTATCAGCAGCATGATCACGTAACCTTAGCATATCACGAAGAGGCCGATATTTTGTGACCCCCATATTACTGCAGTATTTATGTGGAATCACGCAACGTCCCATTACTGAGAACCGTCTTACTGAAAAGTCTAGATTTTTGAGGAAATATAGTTCGGAAATGCATCTGGTTCCGTCAAAATACGACTGCTTTCTAAAAAAAATCAAGGCCGTCATCTAAAATGGCAATGAAGTTTTCACTGTTTTGTGAGGAAATGTAGGAACTTCCGAATAATATTCGAACTTCCATTAAATATGAATTTTCCGCAAACTTGCAATCTACTTTCAGTAGAATTATTGCTTTGCAGAGCTGAGTTGCACGAAATTTTAAAGATGGCAAATACTAAGAAATAACACTCAGCATTTGCATTCAAGACGGCCATAATGTTAATGAAACCATTTGCTTCAAGAATCTCTCACAGTTTATTTAAGCGGCCGACAGCTAAAAGCATTCCTCTTTCAGGTGGGATATGCAAAATCAGACAAAAAAACAAACTTGGAAAATGAGTCACTGTTTTTACTTTAAAACCGAGTATTAAAGCTTTCTCATACCCAAACTCTACGTAAGACAATGAGCCTTATTTAGTCGGAGGCAAGATGCACGTAATAAAATACTTAGACACATCAAGATCCGATGGCGATAAAATATTTAAATACTTAATGTGGGAGATAAACAGGCCACTTCTGTCGCCAGTATTAGTTTACGACTAAGGCAATTGCATGTTTTGCTTAAAGAATGCGGCCGTTGGTGTTAGCGCCTTGGATTCTTGTTTTCCAGGCGTCGTTTCGAAAAGACAGAAATGAAGGCGTAGTGAGTAACTTATTTCCTTCTGCACTACTGAAAGTTTGCGTCCACAATCGTTCGCCGGTCTGCATACGATGCACATGTGTGCTGTCTATTGTTTGGCAGGAAAATCCGTCTCAACGTTAGGGTATATAATGAAATTGATGAAAAAAGATAATTAAAGCCGAGTTTGTTCACGCTGCTTAAATGCTCCATTTGCTTGGATTTACTTTTGCTGCCACGAGCTAAGGTATAATCAGTTGACGACTTTCTTAAATTAAATCCTCTCAGTCCTGCGCATTTAGCCTGTTAGGGCGGCCTTTAATTGCCAGCGTTTGTAAGCTAGCTTTCCTTTTCACTTCAGTAGCTAATGCAAGAGCTACGAAAGCACGACGGAACAACCACGGAACAGGAAATATGTAGTTTGCCGGGATAGACAGTCGTCGCAGAAGAAACGCCAGATTTAATACAGACAGTTAAGTTAGTTTTCCAAAAGCGGATTTGGGGGTCTCCCGGCGGCGACCCAGTATACTGAACTTCCCTAAGTGGAAGACGTAGAAGAATTGCATATTTACAGCTAAAGTGCCTATCTATAGTGATAAATCGAGATGCTGGACTTCAACGACCGTTCTAAGTACTTCCTACTCTTGCATATCTCGTTGAATTTTAATTTAGCATACAGCATGTCATCTTGATTTCTACGCAGTAAAACCCCACTGGGAAGGAATATCTATAACTGAGTTGTTCACTTTAAAAATCAGATTTGTGAATGTTTGTTGCTTTGATTTCGAGAATGAACTTGTTAATCCAATAGCAAGAATATTGTACATTCTATGATTTCAGGACTGGCCATCAGCTCTGCAAGTGGTGGTCCTTAAAAGTAAAGGAAATTTAAACTATGCAACAATAGACCTTAAATTTGCCTTTTCTAAGAAGTACCTACTGATAGTTCTTGTTCCATAAGACCGGTAACTATGACCGAAACTCTCGACTAATTACTTAAAGAGAAAGTCCAAACGAATAGCAAATAAAAAATCAAAACTTTTATTTCGAGGCATCAGAAATGCGACCTTACACCAGCACGGCTGTTAATGTAATTTGTCCATTTGTGTGCAGACAGGTACTTAAACTGAAACTGGACTTTCGTCTGTCTTTAGGTCCTGGAGTAGGAGAACACGTGTGGTTTGATTGTTTAGATTCACTGGTTTGGGTGCTTGATCGGGTCAGTGTTATTGACGTAGACACGGAAAAAAGAAGGCCATGCAGGCAGGAGAAAGCCACTACTACTGACAAACTGTCAGTTCACATGGCCAGATAAGACATTAGAAAATGGTTTCGACTCTCAAAGGATATCTTTCCTTGTTGTTGGGCAACTTGAGTCCGCTTTCACAAAAAAGCGTTGTAGAGGAAACCAACTGGGCTGGTGCAATACATTCAAGCACACAGCAGGCACCTGATGGCACTTTTCAACCATCTCTTTCAGGATACATCCCAAAAGGATCTTGTATGGTCCCTTATTAGTTAGTTCAGCAGGTATCATTTACTATCCCTGCAAGACAGAGAACTTTCAGGCTATGCATTCTCACCACGGACGTTTTACCAAGGTGGATAATCTTCCGCCTTACCCTTAATTATTTAAATTTGGCTTCCTACTTGACGAATATGTGGGTCACTACTTTGCTCTGTTTCTTTCATCTCCCGCGTGGGACTTCTCTTTAATTAAAAGTCATCTCTTACCAACCGAGCCTGTAGAAGTGGAGACGGCTTGCTGATGCAACGTACCAATCTACAATTCCTCATAAATGCATATTCTAAACCCTTAACAAAAAGTTCCACAAGTCGGTTTTTTTTACTATGACAGCGTATTGTCGGTGTATCGGTCATAAAAACGCAGTCATCTTATAATTGCTGCTGGAGCCATTGCATTCTGTTCCAACTTCCCGCTTCCCCAGTCAACGATGGAAAACTTAGCAAAGCAGACGACGACGACAACGACTGAATGAATAATCTGAGAGAATAATTAAAGAACTCAGGACCCTGTCAAAAACCGCTTTTTAATGTCCCATGTTTGCTGAAATCAGCACACGAATTTATAGTGATTTCAGGAAATCTCCGAAGATAGATATCGGATCCAGTCCAACTGATTTACGCAATCCAGTACATGCCTAACTTGACAAATTTTGATACTGAACAATAGATTCATCTCCATACACCATATATGACCTTATAGCTTAATGGACTCTAGGAGTGATCCCTGCCTAAACAGAAAGACAACGGTTGCCTTAAAACCATAAAAATCACGGGAGCGAAATTAACTACACTTAACAAACTGTACTTCAGATAACATTTATTTGCTTATTAGGACTCTGGTTCCTTACATATCACGTAAGAATATTTCCAAAGTCTAAATATGGCTTTTAAAATCACTGGCTGACCTAGTGGTGGCTGCAGACCACTTTCATATGTGCCGATACCTCCAGCAATCCACATATGACTGCCCGACATACTGCCCTTACCTCAATAGCAAACCTTCCGGGCTCTACCTTGAAACATGTGCCTAATGTAGGCCCTCAGGTGATGAAGCGCGAAACGCTCCAGATGATCTTTCGAGCGCAATACTACCTCGCATGTCCTCCGCGCAACACAATCCTTGCAACAAAAATGTCACCTGACTTTGAATAATTCTTGTGCCTGAGTCACAGTAAGTGATGTAACTCATGGTATGTAGTGAGGGAAATCCATATGATAATTTAGGACACCTCAAATGGCGAAACTTTTAATTATTGGCCTAAAGCGTCCCGAGAAAGTGACTGTTTGCTGGTTTTAGTAAGAGCAAATTACATAACTCATCTTTTTAGACAGATGATTTCTGTGCTACTCATTTCAACCCCGAGTTACAAGTAATTTTTTAAAAAATAAGTACATTAGTATTTGACTTTACTTACTGATTCTGTGGTTCATGTCCAGCATGTGCCAGTCTTCATACTTTTGTGGGATTTGATCGCCAGCCAAGAGGGGTATTGTACCGTGCACCCAACAGTAATTCTCAAGAAATTTGTCGAAATCCGATCCGGAGGGCGTCGTAGGAATGTAGCAGGAGATAGAAGCTAAGAGATACTGCTTTACTGCGATGATCGTTGTGCACAGCAGTAGGATAACGACTGAATACATGAAGCTCATCTTGTCGGCAAAATCCTCGACGCCGAGGAATTCCGACACCTGGAGCTTCTTCAGGTAGTCAATAAATTCTATTCCGACCATCTTTGTGACCTAGTCGGTCAAACTGTGGGCTAAAGTTAAAAAAAGAAATCATGGTCTACGAACTTTTGTCTTAAAAGGACGCAGACTTGAAAACGATTTTTGTCAAATGCTATTAAGTGTTCAAAGGAAATTGAAATTGAGGTCATTTCGAGGTGGCATTCACTGACTAAAACGAAGAAATTCCTGGGCGAATTAAGAGGCTTGCAGAATTAGAAACACGTGTGTGTCTGGATGCAGGAAAACCTATTCGGGGTAAGAACCGCTATGAAATGGACGTGACCAAGGGCGGGCCGTTAGTCAAAAGACATCTCCTGACCTACAATCACATAGCCTATATAGCGCATTCGTCAAGGTTTCTGCCCCTGCTGAAAGGTTGGAAAAGGTTTAGCGAATAAGGATAAGGTTTGAAATCCTGTCTACCCTATTTCAAAACAACTGATTTGAGCGGTCAAATAGACATGATTTTTCACTTTAAAGGACTGCCAGAAACGCGGTTGATTATGCGAAGTACTACTCGGATTTTGTTTTCAGAATCATGATAGGATTTTAGTTATTACTTTGAAATATGTTCAGAAATTAATGCACCAGAATCGTTGGATGTTCTAGTCAATCTGGTGTTCGAACGTATTTGAATGTTGAAGAATCAGTGCTCTAGAGACAGATGAAGCAATATGACAAATAGGATTTAATTAACATAAAATACGAAATATATCCACCCACGAGCCGTCAAAGCGGATGCAGGACTTAGGGTTGGTTCTTCTTAAGTTCAGCACTAATTGATTTAAAGTTAAAAAAATGGATATTCCAAACATAAGCTGCTACTGGTAAACAGCAGCATTTACACATTTAACAATTTCAACCCGGCATTAATATTTACCCGGTTCCAACTTTGGAGAGTGATCAAGCATCCTAACCTTGTTCGCTGTCATTTACTGATATATAGAAGATTCATTGAAATCGTTTGAATCATTAACTGAATGTTATATATGTGTATATTATGGTTTGGCTTCTACTTTTGCAAATTATGCTAAAAGCCAGAACAGCTTCTGCCTCCATGTATCTTCTGGGCCATCGTAAACTCATAAACACAAGAACGCTAAGCGAAACCTATATAAAATCTTTACTTGATTAACCTCCATAGGATTGTCTGCTCTGGAAAGACACGGGAAAATCAGGAAAAAAGGATGCATTGACGAGGATCAGTTCCTGGTATATAATGTACTCGATACATACCCAAGGAAATACTCCTGAATTCGTTGCAGTAAGGCTCCTGTGCAGAACTCTAGCAGTACACGCTTTCAAAGTTTATACTTCGGCAGTTTGCAAAACAATTGGCTTTCGAGTCCGTCGAGGGTATCCTAAGTCAGTGCGTTGATTGGCCGTTGTGCCTTTTGTTTATTGAAACCGCGACTGGCCTCCGGACGCAGTACCCACCTTCGTAAGTGACGATGCCAACACTGTGACTTGTGGTTTTCCTGGCAGCACCCCACCGAATGAATTTCAGTTCATTTGTAAGATATTGACGCAAGAAAAACACCAAAAGGTCTATAAAACTTTGTAGATTTTCTAGTATACTGCTTTCACTCTAAGTTCTACACGCAATTCGAAAATGCATATTATTGCTTGCGAAGACGGTTTACTCCTCGCAGTGCTGGTTGTTTACGTGTCCCCTACACTCGAACAGCTTTTTACTTGCAACAGTATTTATAACTTTAAACACATTTTCTCTTTATTGAGGTTGCCTCTTCACTTCACTTCGCCAAGTGGCGACTGCATGACGGCGTCGTTTGTGTGCACCAACGGCTGCTGGCTCATCGTCCTGCTGGTTGTGATCATAAAAATTAATCTTTGTTTGGAAGTGCAGTCACTGCTAGGGCTACGGGACGCGCTCGTCCCGTTAGCGCACATCCCTTATAGACGTTAACAAAGCAACTAGGAGTATATGCTGAAAGGTGTCCCGATAAAGACAAGGGAGACTGGGTTGGCCATTTCTGACTGGCTAATGTTCCCGATCGTAAATAACAGGACAAAAGGCCATGTAGATTAATGATGAAGCGCTGGACTTAATAATGCTCAATGATAAAAGATGAGGGGTCAAGGCTCAAGTGCGGCAAACCTGGGTTTGAGTGAGGCTAGCTAACTACGTTTGCAAAGCCAGAAAGGAATATCATCGTTTCCCTCGCTTTTCTCGGGACCCCTTCAAGGGTATCTACCTAGTTGCTAAACGACGGCCTGCGAGGGTTCTACACTGAGTTTCAGGGCAAAACGAGACAAGCATGTCCCATAGCCAGATCGGTGAACCCCGTTAAACGGAATGCATTTTCCATTGTTTCAAGACCACGAATAAAACACGCTGGTTAGCACAATTTAAGGAAGTTGCCACAGGACTGGGGGCCTACGTGTGAAGTAGTTTATTGTGACATTAAACTTGTGCTGGATCTACCGCACTCGCTCCTCCCCCGCCACTTTGATCTTGTTGTCTAGACATAGTCAAAAGATCGAGGTCGAAATCAAGCGCGACGGCTGACAAAGCTGAACGGTTCGTCAACGCGTTCTACGCGCGCCTGGTTCATGCATGAAGGACCAGATTTTCACCAGAACGACAATGGAGGGCTGGCAGCTCTGGTCCCATCTGAGTGGGAGTGCCAGAAGCACCACATTAAGAAAAAGCCACTGTAGTATGTCTCCGCGTCCTGATAGGAGGAGCGAGTTATCCCGTCAGCTGCCAACCTGCAAAGTCACAGCTTTTAGTACACAGTGATAGTTTAAAGGCGTGTTAAATTGTTTATAGTGAGGAATATACGCTGGGTGCCGTGACGACGCTGTCCCCGGAGTCGGTCTTATCCTCTGTTCCCTCTATCGGTCACCAGTCGATTGTCTGAGCCGGTTAACCAACCGATGCTAAGATTGGGAGCCGTGGCTGACAGAGCTAAAAGCAGTCCATCTACGCTTTCCGCGAACGGCCTAACCCCCGTACAACACGCCAGATTGTCGCACGAGAGGGTGGGCTGCTCGGTGCTCACATGTGCGTGTGCCATATGGGCCGCGTGGAGATAGAGACAGAGAAACCGATCTCCACTCAAGCGAGAGGTGCCTATTCCATACCTGCAGTGGGTGATGTGTAGCTGGTTCATGAGTTTTATGCTCACTGATGGGGGATATGTAGTGATGGGTCTTGGTCTGCGGTGGTTTGCTCCAGATTTGTATGGGGGTCCATGTGGCCGTGTAGACCCATGAGGTTATTGAGTGTACGCGAATAGTGTGGGCAGCTTAGAAAGATGATGCGGCTGTATGCTGACATTCCTGGCACTAGTTCGCCAGTTTTAGTGAGACGGATTAGCAAGTGACCCACAGGGCCTCTGCGTGATCTGTGTGTGTGCGATGACAGTCTGTGTAGGATAGTCTAAGATTTGTAGAGCCGGCCGAAGTAGTGATGCTGCTAGTGGTTACCGATCTGTTGGATGAGCAGTTTGTTGTGCTGGAGATGGGAGAGTTGTTTGGCGTGCGTAGTGAGCTCGTCGTATTCATCATTGCAGTGAACTGCCCTGTAGTGGACGCGCATGTGGAATGCAGCTCGTTGTTCATCTCCAGGCCGTCGGTCCTGGGTGAGATCCTCTCAGGTCTGCCAGTTGATTTGCAGTTGCTAGAGAGAGGGTTTCAGGTTGTCCACACAGCGTTGCTTATGGTCGCCTTGACGACAAGCGCCCACAGTGATATCGCCATAGAAGAGTCCTTCGGTTAGGCGATCGTCATCCATCCTCACTAGATGGTCGCTCCAGCGCTGTTGTTGTTGCCTCAGCATGGCAGAAGTGCGGGGGACTCTGATGTTTGCAACCCTGTCTTGTTAACTTGACTTTAGTACTTCCTGGAGGCAAATGAGTTTGAGGCGTTTGAGTTTTATCGCCTGAATCTCGCAAAAGGTTCAGGTCCTCGATCCGTACGGCAGCGCTTTCAAAATGATGACTTTTTAAATCTTAAACTTTGTATTACGATGGAGACCCTGGGCATTTCAAACGAAGTCCTGCAGCCGGTCGAAGGCATGATTGCTTTTGGAAGTTCGGCAGGGTCACTTCGTTGTCTATCTCAGTGTTGTTTGAGATGATTTTGCCTTGGGTAGACCAACTCGTCCACGGTTTAGATTTAGGTGTCGTCAGTGATGCCAGGATTGTTCAGTTTAGCGTCGGGAAACGTCTCGTGCATGAAAATCGTCTTAACCGTGTTGATGATCAACCCGAAGAGTGCACAGCCTAGGGTAAATTGATTAGTGCCCAGTTGCCTATCCGGTTATGTCTGGGTGTTGAATACGCAGTCATCTCCGAAGAGCAGATAGTGGAACGCGTTGATGTCGCAATGCGTCAGGTATTGAGGAACTCGTCGTCGGCCCTGTAGACGATGCTGATCCCAAGGTACTCACTATGGTAAATTTCCAGCATTATGGCAGAATACAGAACACTAAAGAGGGTCTGGACGAGTACGCAGTCATGATTCACTCTATTGGTCACTGCGAATGCTTCTGAACAGGCTTCCATTTTTCGGGGTGCTCGCCATCACCCCGTCTTGAGGCTGAAGCACCAGGTGTGAATCGTTCAGAACTGCAAAATATCTGCATGATTCTGCAAAGTCCCTCATGATTTACCCTGCCAAAGACTCCCATCAGATTCGTGAAGATACTTTAGAAGTGAGGCCACATCTCCTGGCGTTTCCATCGTATTTGGTGGACGACGAAGTGCAAGTCGGTGGTTCTGCGGTGTCGTCAGAAGCCACGCTGGCTTTCCAGATAACCGATAAGGCGGTTGAGTAGGATGCGAGCGAATCTCTCCTCTGCAATCCTAAGCTGCAAGTCTCTTACCACCATCAGACGTTCTGTTCTCAGTTGTCAGCAAAGAACCGTGCTTGTAGCAATCCCATCCGTTTAGCAGCAGCTGGGAGAAAGGTCCACGAAATACACGTTTTATCCGGACACTGGCTCTTCATTGTACATTCTAGTCTGAACAAAATTA